AGATACTTTGTCTGATCTGCTTCAAATTTCACAGGTGATTAGGGTTGGCCTCTGAACACATTGACATAACAATTATTTACTTTAACCATAGCACCCCCTACTGCAAGGACTAAGTACTACATCTTATATACTTTGTCTGATCATTTTTGAAATTCCTCAGGTATGTTCAGGGTTGGCCTCTGGACACAGTGACAAAACAATAATAAAGTTTAACCATAGCGCCCCCTACTGCAAAGAGTAAGTACTACATCCTATATACGATGCTCAATTTCCTCCAAATGTCAAAGCTATCATGACAGCGCCAGCCTGAACTGCCATGTCAAACTTTTCTGCCTTATTCAACATGCCAGTACTATGACTTTTACACAAGTCGAACTGCACGGCCTGCTGCTTAGCCACGTTCCGCTGCTGCTGCACTCCAGCGGTCGCGACACACCCCGACATGCACAGGGGTGCGAGGGCCCTTCATCACCACTTGCGGTTTTATTCTTATTGGTGTGCATTAGTCTCTCAATGATTTTATGAATGAATTTATAAATTACTTTACATCAATAACTTTTCTGCACTCTTGTTAACACTTACTACTTCTTCAAGGTATGGGCAAGGCGTTTCATAAAAGTCTTTATGAATACAAATAGAGACACATGACTATATATAAGCAGTAGTGATTAACTTCAACTTGAGATGCAAGCAGATGCAGTTAAAGGGACAGCATAAAGAAGTCTGTGGGATGATATGATGGAGTCCTTAACATCCTTAAATCTGACAACACGCTGCCCCACGCCGAGGTTAAAGTAAAAGTGCTTAAGCCTCCAAACATTGTTGATAATGACGACGGTAATGTGACACAATGAAGTCAATTTAAAGTAAAATAGATATACAGCTCCTAACACGTTGCCCTTTGAGCTTATTGCAGATTCAGCACAATCTACACAGAATAAAAATAGTTTTACATTAAAATCTTTGATGCCAGTAAAGGGCCAAACAGTAGCACTTCACATCGGTTAATGATTAAAGCGCCACTGTGGATAAACAGTATGTAGAGCATGTGATTGTGTTGGACTTTTACACTCGAGTTCCTTCTCCGTCTGGTGTAAGATCAACCACCAAACAGGTAGGCGGATATAAGATGTTATTTTTGCCTGTATATAAAAAATAGGAAACCTCGATGACTTCTGTAAATAACTCCAAACTGATGCACACTGCAGACTTTGATTTAAAGTGATGCGCCGAATGATAAAACAGTTTGAAGCTCTTAAAGTTATTCACCGTCCAACAACAATGGACCATGTTTGATTGCGCCAATCGCTCCATCATGAAAACAACTGGACTAAAGAGTAACACACCACCTACACTGGCGGTTAAAATAGTCATTTTGTGTTACCTCATTTAATCATTCATACTTTTCTATCTTATGCGTGTTTAATCCTTCTGTCCGGACAAAATAATGATATCAAATGTATTTGGTAACATGTGGGGGGGCCAAAAGCCATTTTTATGTTCAATAGGGGGCCTGGCAAAAAAAGTTTGGGAACCACTGCCTGAATGTAACTGGGGTGAAGTTTGGCGAGTGGGTTGATGAAATGGTCTGTGTATTCTGTTATTGTGTATGTTTCTTAGTTACAGTCACTGACAATGGGGCGACTGACCGGAACAACCGAGGGGACCGTCCAGGTCTCAGGAGGCTTGTGGATCTTGGTGAGCAGACAGAAGAGGTCTGGGCTCACTGGGACCGTCTAAATATTGTTTTTGTTTGAAGTTGATGAATTTTTGTCTGTAGAGTGTTTCTGTAATCTTTCTAACTAGTGTCTGTGTCTCTAATTGTAGTGGGTGTGTCAGTGTTTTATAATATGTGCTGTTATTTAACTGTCTGCGTTGTCCCTATCCTGAAGAACTATTTGGCCCCTTATCTGCTGGCTTAATGACTATGTGTTTGTGGTTACCCAATGTTCTGATGATGCGTTTATGTTCCTGACTAATGTTGTGCGTTCTGCGTGGCAGAGGGCGCCAATGTGTGGATGAGACCTTTTTCTCAAATCTCCAGCTGCACGGCTGTGAGGGAGAAAATGGCACAGAGGTTGGTAATGTTGGACTGGTGGGGAGTTGCGATTTGACAGTTGTCCCCAGTTACAAGTTTAATTGCTGTTTCCAGTACCTGAACAACATCCCGGCTGTGTTTGCAGTCCAATCTATGTGGTCCTTGTCTGTCTGGAAGAGTAGTGGATTTATTTCAGGTATGAAGTTATATTTGGAGGTTATTGTGTCGTTGAGTTTTGTTTGTAGTGTCTGTTTGTATTTTTCCAGTCTGGGTGAAAAGTTTATGAAGGGGATGTAAAGGGTGGCGTTGGGGAAGGTGGTCTGGCTGGTCCTCCACATAGTCTGTAGTTGTTTGAGTTACTGAGAGTATTAACTGTGTGGTGTTGTAACGTGGGGTGAGTTTCTTAAGTATGCTGACTATGTGATGGAAGTTGGCTCCGGGAAAACTGTCTACCTGTATGTGTGGGTCTGTGAAAGGAGGGATCCGGGAGAGGTTGGAGTCACCTATAATGAGTGTCTTCTTCTGGACCTCCAGTGACCAGTCCTGTATCTTTCTGTGAGTGTGTGGGTGTGTGTGTGGTTCCGGCCTACTTGGGGAGCCAGGTGCTGCCACGAAGGCCCTGGTGGTATAAGAGGTGGATATCTCAGATGTTGGGGGTGTTTTCAGCTTTGGTTACTCTCTTCATCATCATCACCCTTCAGAGCAAGCAGCTCTGGCTCCCTCTGCTGGTTGTGTGGTGTGTCTGTAAGTGGAGAGGATGAGATGGTGTTACTGCAGGGTAGAACAATGTTACTGTAAGGCGGTGTCTGTTCAGTGCGGTTATTGACTGTGTGTGAAGGGGGTGAAGAGGGAGGGGAGGAGGGGGCGACAGGGGGGCAGGCAGAGGACCCAGACGGTCGAGTGCACTCTGTGGGAGTGGATAGATCTCAACCTTCATTCGCCGTCCGGGGCAATGGAGGCTGAGTCACCCGGCCGGGCCCCGATGACGCCGCCGAACCCCCCAACGTATAGAGACCTGAGGAAGTGGTGGGAGGAGGAGAGGAGGGAGGGGGGCTAGACTTAGGGGGTGAGGAAGGTATGGTAGTGGAGAGAGGGGGGGAGGAGGAGGAGGGAGCAGGGTTAAGGTTAGGTTTAGGGGAGGGGGAGGTAAGGTAGTGGAGAGAGAGGAGGAGGGAGGCCAGGTAGGAGTAGGTAGGAGAGGAGGGCGAGGGAGGTTACGGTGGGTGGTAGATGGACCTGCTGGTTGGGAGAGTGGAGGAAAGTCCAGAGGGGAGAGCTGAGGCACAGGAGGGCCCTCCTCGCTCCGGGGCCTCCTGGTTAGGAGATCCCTAAGAGTGGAGACGGAGGAGGACGTGAATGTCTTCCCATACCTCACCCTCCCCCACTGGACGGCCCTATTCAAGGCCTTCTGGGTTAGGTTAGGGTTAGGGTTAGGGAAAGGGGGTAATGGCCCAAACTGCTACCCCTAGCATGTTTAGGGTTAGGGTTAAACTCTCGTTCATTACCAACATTTACACATTTAGCTGTTTTATTCAGTTATTGACGTGAGATTACAACACATTCCAAATGTCTACTACATTATTTAGATATTCAACCTTACACCCCTTCCTACATCTCTCTGGTTTCAAACAAGCTTTTTAAACTGATTAAAATCAGCAGGTGAATGCAGAAGTGAAACAAAGCTCAAACAGTCAAACTTGTAGGTATTCTCTTTCTATGAAAGACTGTTCCCCCAGTTCAACCATGCTCCTCTTTCCTTTTGTTTCACTTTCCACAGCACACCTCGCTCACCATACTTCCACTCTTGCATACACCCTTACAAGGTCTGTTAGCTGACGTCCACATCCTCACAATCCTTCTTTAATCGACGCATTCACTTTGTTGTGAATAAATATGAGTACCTCCTAGTCTCCTCCCGTCATTTTGTCTCCAGTGTTTTCAGTCAGCCCCAAACTAAGGGTTCCTGTAGTATGACTGAACCTCATCAGTCCGCATGGTTCTGTAGCTTCTCGCCAAGTCTTTGTCGACTTCTCCGGCCTCTGATTGTCAAACAAATGCACGTTGGCCATGAGGGGGAGGAGCAGCACAAATTCCAACATATTGTTGCTTAAAGACAATTACAAAGTTGGCGTACTATCAGCTGTAGAATATATCATGAATTAGAGGACATGTGTCCCAGTAGGACTTGGAAAAGGCTGAAAGTCGTCCATATTGATGCTTTAAACTGTGTGGACGGTTCTATTGCAGGTTGTTTCCAGCTCACAGCAGCAACACCTGACCATCAAATGATTAAAGTGACCAAAGGATGAGGGCTTATAGTTTCAGCCTGCAGTTATGTTATGTTATATTTATATGAGGTTTTTGGCCTGAAAGACAAAAATGTAAAAGTCAAACATCAAAGGCAGCTTTAGGAGCTGTAAGAATCAGTTGAATATATGACTGTTAAAACACGTCTCAATCAATGTGGAGCTCTTCTCTTTTGTTATTCCAGTGGTCCACATGTTATTCCTGCTGTGTGCACATGTTCAGGACGTTGGTAAGTACCAGGTTGATGCTCAGTTCTATTTTAACTTCAGTTGGTACATTCTGGTGAAATGTTACCTGTGGGTTTACCTCGGAGTTATCCCACAGTGGAGCCGTCCCAGCAGCACCAGTAGCAAAGCCATCATTACTACAGGGAGAACATTTCTGAAGATGATGAATGGAAGATCTGAGGACTCACGACTCTCTTGGTGTGACTCTGCAAACAAGACAGAAATACAAATAATGCACGCCTTCTCGTGGTGTAAAGTTCGAGCACAGTTCTCTTGAATCATTGTCAATATGAGACCACAGATTCACTGGGTAACCTACAAAGGGAAGAAGAGGATGTGAGCCAAAAATTAGCCTTCCGCTAACTTGGGTACATGAATAAATTAATATTTTATTTTCGTGTCAGGTCATATTTAAGACTCATCCCACATGGAAGTACATTTACATCCGTCTGTATGTTGATTAATGTACGCTGTCCTTTTCAAATCAATCAATATACTGTTTCAACACATAGTTATATCACATGTATTTTTCAATTTGATTTGGTAACACTGATGTGTCTCACCTTGAACAGCCATCAGACTCTCGGCTGATTCTCTTCCTCCAGAGATGCACTTGTAGAATCCTTCATCACATTTGGAAACACTGGGGATGCTCATGTTTCCTGCAGAGCTTCTTCTGATAAGGCGGCCATCTTTGTAGAAATCAGCTGAGAGATTGGATGAGGTCGTCTTGTGTCTGCAGCGCAGAGTCACAGTCTCTCCCTCCACCACACTGATGGGACTCTCCAGGATCACAGGACCATCTGAACAACATGGGGTTCATATTTTATAGCACACAAAGATGAGTGCATGTAAAGATCTCGTCTTAATACAAACATACCAGTAACAGTGATATGGATGATGTCGCTTCTGTTCCTATCTCTGGACTCACACCAGTATTGCCCACTGTCCTCTGGAAAAATATTAGGAATAGTGCAGGATGACCTTTTTGATGTCACTGTAGTTCTACATTTGAGTAATTCCCCTTTGGACCGATGTACAATTTTCAATCCAGTCGAGTCATGAGAGCCCTCACAATGGAAGATCAGAGACTCGTATTCAAAGAACTGCAGTCTGTTTGGTTCAAGACGGAGAATCAGTGAATCTGAAACAAACCAAAGAAAGATATGTTCTCTTATGTCATACAAAATACCAAAATGAAGCATTTGAACAATAACTTTGAGAAACTTAACGGTACATACCCACATCTTGAACATGTACACACAGCAGGAATAACACACAGATCACTGGAAAGAAGAAGAGTTGTACGTTAGATCTCATAAAAACAGGTACGGAAATATCTATGAAACAGATAAAGAATCATACTCACACAGCCTGATGTTCAGAGCACAGACCTCCATGTTGACTCTCTGAACATATGACTGAAGTGTCCACGAGGTGAGGATTTTTGCTTCTAATGCGATACATGGTTTGTGGTTAGGGTTGAAAATATTTCCCCACAGACCCCTCCTTATGTGTCGCCTCCACCTCTTCTGGCTGAGAACGCCAGCGCCATTTTCAACTTTTCATCAGACCAGAATAGTTAAACAGAACTTATTACGTAAATGGTTGGTTATAACCACCTTTATAATTTATAGCTGCATTTGACGAATATCTGTTGTGAAAAAATAAAACAAGAACAAAGCAAGACCACTGAACATTTTTAAACCAGGAAGTGGCGTTATTGTTTCATTTAATACAGTTAACAGACATAGAACAGGGCGTCAACTGCATATGGATGAATAATAAATCACACATTAGAGGTAGCAGGATTTAGGAAAGGTTTAATGACTAGGATTCAAACCTAAGCCTCGTAGAACCCAGAATAACAGGATAGCAAGAGGTCAGAAAGGTTAACGCAAAGAATTCCTTTCATTTAATCAAATTAGTCAAATACTTTAGAAAATGTGCTAAATAAGGTGAAACGTTTCAAGCTTAAACAAGGAGGCTATAGCTGTAGCTTAGACTAAATGGTGCCTGATGTTCAAGTGTTCTAGTAAGTATTTTGGCAACACAGTGGAATAATTCAATCTATACTCAAAACAGAGCAAGGAGTATCCAGAGTAATGACGGCAACTGTTCGCTCAGCTTGTACCAACCGACCTTTGACACAGGAACCCCTCTATTCTTTGATCAAGTAGATAAGACTCAGGACATTACTGACATTCATATCTGGTAGGATGGACAGCAGAACTTCGAACATGACCCATATTTACAGCTTTCAAACGTCTATGTCACTGGACGTTGATGTTCAACCAAAGCACCACTTAAGGCAGCATTTCCTACATGCTTCGGTTCAAACTTTAGCTGTCATGCTTCTCAGAATGATACGACCCGTGTTTTTTTAAATCAATGTGGTATGCTCAGAGCTGTTATCCCTTTCTGTCTTCAGGTCGCAGTGTGATGGCTGACTGAAGGACGAGCAGCACATGACATGTTTGGTTGAACCTTATTTGTGAAAAAACACTTTTTATTTTATTTTGCATTGCAGAAATGGTTTTCATGCTTTGCGCCCTACATGTGTTGATGTTTAAAGATATATTAAAGAGATGCGGTTTGTATTTTCAGATGTATTATCTGTTATTATTTGCTGACAGTTAAACCCACATGTTCCATCTGCTGTGTGTATTTACGTGAGTTTGAAACTGTGGTCAACCATCACCTTGATGCTGCAGCTTCACTTTCATCTGAAGCACGCTGACCGAGTCCAAATAAAGAAATGATTCTGACACTTTAAGTCTAAAGTGGTTGTAAATGTCATACATGAGAAGACAGAAAATAATTGTGCCATTAAAGAAGTGTACTGGTGTTCATTCTTTCATGCAAACAGTATTTTCTCAGGGTCTTCTAATCAGCAATCCCGATTCATATTCAACATGTTTAACAAAAACCAGCAGGACTTGGAAAACACTGAAAGTCATCCATATTGTTGCTGTAAAACTGTGTGGACGGTTCTATTGCAGGTTGTTTCCAGCTCACAGCAGCAACACCTGACCATCAAATGAGTAATGTGACCGAAGGATGAGGGCTTACAGTTTCAGCCTGCAGGTGTGTCTGCAGATATCTTGTGTTTATATTTTTAACAGCTGACCTTTTTATTTCAAACTGTCTGACTTTACGTGTTTGTATCAATGTTTTCACATCATAGCAGTCCGCTTTGTTCTTTGGCTCAGCCCAATGACGCTAATCTATCAACTGAGGTGTTACCACCACCACAGCAGCTCAGTCAGTGTGAACGTCGTTTTGAAAAAAATCTAAGTGTCAAACTTAGGGGAACATGAGCAGCATAAATAGGCTACACAGGAAGAAGCACCTCCTCCGTTACACTTCAGTTCAGCTTGGTGTTCAGACAGTCAACATGGAGGTCGGCGTGCTCTGCATCAAACTCTGTGAGTACGATTGATTAAAACTAAAGCGTGTAGGCGTTCAAGGTTAGGATGGTAATGATGGTTTAATGCAGAGGATGCTCTTGGGGCTTGGAAAGACTTTCAGGTTCACAATATTTATATGAGGTTTTCGCCCTGAAAGAAAAAAATTTAAAAGTCAAACATCAAAGTCAGCTTTAGGAGCTGTAAGAATCAGTAGAATATACGACTGTTAAAACACGACTCACTCAATGTGGAGCTCTTCTCTTTTGTTATTCCAGTGGTCCACGTGTTATTTCTGCTGTGTGCACATGTTCAGGACGTTGGTAAGTACCAGGTTGATGCTTAGTTGTATTTTAACTTCAGTTGGTACTTTCTGGTGAAATAAGAGAACATGTCTTTCTTTGGTTTGTTTCAGATTCACTGATTCTCCGTCTTGAACCAAACAGACTGCAGCTCTTTGAATACGAGTCTCTGATCTTCCATTGTGAGGGCTCTGATGACTCGACTGGATTGAAAATTGTACATCGGTCCAAAGGGGAATTAGTCAAATGTAACACTACAGTGACATCAAAAAGGTCATCCTGCACTATTCCTAATATTTTTCCAGAGGACAGTGGGCAATACTGGTGTGAGTCTAGAGATAGGAAGAGAAGCGACATCATCGACATCACTGTTACTGGTATGTTTGCATTAAGACGAGATCTTTACATGCACTCATCTTTGTGTGATATAAAATATGAACCTCATGTTGTTCAGCTGGTGATGTGATTCTGGAGAGTCCCATCAGTGTGGTGGAGGGAGAGACTGTGACTCTGCGCTGCAGACGCAAGACGACCTCGTCCAATCTCTCAGCTGATTTCTACAAAGATGGCCACCTTATCAGAAGAAGCTCTACAGGAAACATGAACATCCCCAGTGTTTCCAAACGTGATGAAGGATTCTACAAGTGTATCTCTGGAGGAAGAGAATCAGCCGAGAGTCTGATGGCTGTCCAAGGTGAGACACATCAGTGTTACCAAATCAAATTTAAAAATACATGTGATATAACTATGTGTTGAAACAGTATATTGATTGATTTGAAAAGGACAGCGTACATTAATCAACATACAGACGGATGTAAATGTACTTCCATGTGGGATGGGTCTTATAAATGACCTGACACGAAAATAAAATATTAATTTATTTATGTACCCAAGTTAGCCAAATGCAAATTTTTGGCTCACATCCTCTTCATCCCTTCGTAGGTTACCCAGTGAATCTGTGGTCTCATACAGACAATGATTCAAGAGTTTTAACAAACTTGAATTGTGCACGATTAAACTGCATACTTTACATTAATAGCAAAAGTTGAAACGTTCAGGTTTAAAATCTTAATTTTTCTTCTAATCTGTCAATCAAATCCAAACCTAAAATCCTCTGTCATTGTTTCTCTTAATACTTTGTGATTACATTCCAGACAACCAGGGAGAGAATGTCTCATCCTGTTCTACCCCTTGGATAGTTATGACTGTTTTATCGATTCTGTTGTTGCTGGTTGGACTTCTTCATTTCGGCAAATATATTCGGAACAAAGGTACAAACACATTTCACTAACGAGAGGCGCTTACAGTGATTGATGGTTCACAGTCCCCGTGGAATATTTGCATTTTACGTTTGTTTAATTTATTTAATGGATGAATGGGCAAGTTAATAACAGTGGGGTCTTGAACACAGCTCATGGATTCTAAAGGCCCTGACACACCAAGGAGATCGTCGGCCGTTTGTCCTAGTTGAAAATTGCACATTTTTAAACCAGGAAGTGGTGTTATTGTTTCATCATGTCTCAATGTCTTCCTGGTTTCCTGTTCATAGTGTTTTTTTTCATTTCATGCACTGCAGTGTTGCTGTATTTGTCCACACTGGCACTTCAATCAGGCACAGCTGAGGTTCAAACAGGTAAGAACAGGTACCATGAGCATGTTCAGGTAAACTTGCACTTAAAACTAAGGAGTGATAGATTTTTTAAAAAGCAGCCTGCTCGTCTTATCGACGATAATCAGAGCAAATGTCCTTTGAAGTGTAAAAAAGGGAAATCTGTTTTCCTTCAGTCCTCATTAGAAAAAGACAATTTATTTAATCACATTAATTTAATACTCATGTTCTTTGGAGAAAGAGAAAATGCTTAGTTTGTGGATATGATTGCTCGACTTGGAAATTGACATAGACTTTTAATGCCTGTGTACTTTATTGATGTGGATTCTTATCACACATTTGTATTTTCAGTCACTGTTGAGGCACATCGAGTGGCAGCAGATGCACCAAGCGACCAAGCGATGTATGCTGCAATTACAATAGACAGGACAAAGAGAGGTACCTCACCTGACAGTTTATCCTCTCATGGTTCATTTCACAGTCACGATGCTCCATCCTATGTCTTGATCTTAAACTCCCTTCTTCTTGAACCTGGGGTAGTTTAACAACATTAAATGACAATTTCATGAGTCTGTATCTCAAGGCCATGAAATGGACAGAAATAATGTTTTGATATCCTTTATTAATCCCTGAGGGAAATACAACATACATACAAAACATACATGGTCTAAAATGATGTTGAATACTTTAAGTAGGCTTATTTAATCTTTATAAACATAATGGTTAAGTTCTTCAGTTAGAATTAAAAACAGCTTATTTCTATATGAGATTTAAAGTAGTCGTCAAGGTGAATTCACCTGCAGACATATTCTCCGATAAAGTCTCCAAAGAAGTGAAAAGTACACTACAGATTCAAACAATGAGAATATGCATAACATAGCACTTTGTAAACTACAAATAAAGTTATTATTATTGATTATTGTTACTTAAAAAGTCAATTATCCAACCTTGGATTTAATGCCTAATGGTTTAATACAGTTAACAGACATAGAACAGGGCATCATCTGCATATTGATAAATAATAAATCACACACATTGGGGGTAGCAGGATTTAGGAAAGTTTTAACAAATAGGATTCAAACCTAAGCCTCCAAGAACCCAAAATAACAGGATAGCAAAAGATCAGAAAGGTTAAAGCAAAGAATTCCTTTCATTTCTTAAAAATAGTCAAATACTTTAGAAAATGTGCTAAATAAGGTGAAACTTATTTAGCTTAAACAAGGAGGCTATAACCGTAGCTTAGAATAAACTCCACTTTGGGTGACCCAAGTGACACTCAACAACTGGGTGAGACTTATTGTAATAAAAACGTAAACTAAATGTTGCCTGATGTTCAAGTGTTCTAGTAAGTATTTTGGCAACACTGTGAGATAATTCAATCTATACTCAAAACAGAGCAAGGAGTATCCAGAACCATGACGGCAACAGTTCACTCAGCTGGTACCAACCGACCTTTGACACAGGAACCCCTCTATTCTTTGATCCAGTAGGTAAGACTCAGGACATTACTGACATTCATATCTGGTAGGATGGACAGCAGAACTTCGAACATGACCCATATTTACAGCTTTCAAACGTTTATCTCACTGGACGTTGATGTTCAACCAAAGCACCACTTAAGGCAACATTTCCTACATGCTTCGGTTCAAACTTTAGCTGTCATGCTTCTCAGAATGATACGACCCGTGGTTTTTTATATCAATGTGGTATGCTCAGAACTGTTAACCCTTTCTGTCTTCAGGTCGCAGTGTGACTGTTGAATGAAGGACGAGCAGCACATGAGATGTTTGGTTGAACCTGATGTGTGAAAAAACACTTTTTATTTTATTTTGCATTGTAGAAATGGTTTTCATGCTTTGCGCCCTACATGTGTTGATGTTTAAAGATATATTAAAGAGATGCGGTTTGTATTTTCAGATGTATTTTCTGTTATTATCTAGTGACAGTTAAACCCACATGTTCCATCTGCTGTGTGTATTTACATAAGTTTGAAACTGTGGTCAACCACCACCTTGATGCTGCAGCTTCACTTTCATCTGAAGCACGCTGACCGAGTCCAAATAAAAAAATGAGTCTGACACTTTAAGTCTAATGTGGTTGTAAATGTCATACATGAGAAGACAGAAAATAACTGTGCCATTAAAGAAGTGTACTGGTGTTTATTCTTTCATGCAAACAGTATTTTCTCAGGGTCTTCTTATCAGCAATCCCGATTCATATTCAACATGTTCAACAAAAACGTCTTTTTGAGTGGACAGTAACGGCAGTAGCTCTCAAATGCTTTGAGCTGAATGCGATTACAATGCAAGCTAATATGTTAAAAATTACCATGCTAACATGCTAATGCTAATTAGATCCAATATTTCACTGTCCCTACGAAAAGATGAGTTTCACCATCTGGGGACTGAATGTCTGAACAGAATCTGAAGTAAACCCAGGACCTTCAAGAAAAGAGTTCTTTATTCTGATTGGCTGGCAGCGGTACATTCTCTCTCTTTCTTTCACACAAACGTGTGCGTAGAGGTACGTAGAGTTCTAGAAGAGTTCACCAGTGTGAAGGGTTTGAAGGTGGCAGGTTTTTGACTTTTGTCACAGAAAAAAAAGAAAAAGCTTTGAATGAATTATAAATCAGATCTTCTTTACGGGTTCTCACTGTGAATAAAACGGTTGTTTTAACCTTTAATTTGTATCCACCATTGGACTCAGAACAATATTGAGCATGTGTTTTCCTTTGTGAACATTACTTTGTCTACCAAACAAGGTGTTGGAAAGAGATTGGTCACCTTGCTTTGTGTAGCCACGTGCATTTTAAGTCACCAACGCCATTTTCTAATTTCAACCTCCAACATAAAGAAATCTGAGACACTATTCCTGAACAAACCTAATTTAGTATAGCTGGTTATTAATGGGTTAATGTTGGTATAACACTAACAATGAGTCCCCTCTGCTGTACAACGACCACACTGCATAAAAAGAAGACACGAAAAACTTCCATCACACATCTTTAATAAAAATGTGAACTGCTGTTACAGAGAGACAGACGTATTTCACATTGTTGTTGATATAAAAACATTCAGTGGAATATTACAGTTTAAATGTTCATGTTACCATCACAAATGTTCGTATTATATGTTGATATTTTATTTAGATATGAGCAGGAAGTGAAGCTCTGAGCTGCACCTGCTGATTGCTTGGGCCTTTTTGTAACAGTGACGGTGTTCACACAAACATTATGGGCTCACAGACTTTACGTATGACAGGTGCTCTATAAATAACACTGAGATGAGTTGTGGCTCGTGGGTCAGGGTGAGAGAAGACGTGGTCTCAGATGTGAATATTAAATATAGAAAGACACTGAAACAAACTGTGCACAGTGTTATTTGACTTGTGATATCTTCAGGTCCTTATACAGAAGAAGAACGAACATCTGTTGAACATTCACCAACAAGTGAATTAAATATGTGAAACCTGTCAAACAGGAAGTGCTGCCATTTTCTTTGATCTGCTCATTTCCAAACATTTCTATGGATTGGATTCTTTAAGCTGATTAAAAATGTTTTCATTGGTTTGCACAACATGCACTGAATATAAGTGGATAATCATTACATATAATGAACAAGGTGCACTGTAACACATGGAAGACAGCAGCTGAGTAGCTGAATGAAGCATTATGGGATGCTCTTCATTTCTGGCAACAAAACAAGACTTTGGAGAAAATGTCTGTCTTTGTCGTTCATCCCATCGTATCCTTTATTTCAATATCTCCATCTCGATTTGAGTGCACATGAGGTGTTGTTGTTTAGCTGTGGGTTTACCTCGGAGTTTCCCACAGTGGAGCCGTCCCAGCAGCACCAGCAGCAAAGCCATCATTACTACAGGGAGAACATTTCTGAAGATGATGAACGGAAGATCTGAGGACTCACGACTCTCTTGGTGTGACTCTGCAAAGAAGACAGAAATAGAAATAATGCACGCCTTCTCTTGGTGTAAAGTTCGAGCACAGTTTACTTGACTCTTTGTCAATATGAGACCACAGATTCACTGGGTAACCTACAAAGGGATGAAGAGGATGTGAGCCAAAAATTTGCCTTTGGCTAACTTGGGTACATAAATAAATTCATATTTTATTTTCGTGTCAGGTCATTTATAAGACCCATCCCACATGGAAGTACATTTACATCCGTCTGTATGTTGATTAATGTACGCTGTCCTTTTCAAATCAATCAATATACTGTTTCAACACATAGTTATATCACATGTATTTTTAAATTTGATTTGGTAACACTGATGTGTCTCACCTTGGACAGCCATCAGACTCTCGGCTGATTCTCTTCCTACAGAGATACACTTGTAGAATCCTTCATCACATTTGGAAACACTGGGGATGCTCATGTTTCCTGTAGAGCTTCTTCTGATAAAGCGGCCATCTTTGTAGAAATCAGCTGAGAGATTGGATGAGGTCGTTTTGCGTCTGCAGCGCAGAGTCACAGCCTCTCCCTCCACCACACTGATGGGACTCTCCAGGATCACAGGACCATCTGAACAACATGTGGTTCATATTTTATATCACACAAAGATGAGTGCATGTAAAGATCTCGTCTTAATGCAAACATACCAGTAACAGTGATATGGATGATGTCGCTTCTCTTCCCATCTCCGGACTCACACCAGTATTGCCCACTGTCCTCTGGAAATATAATAGGAATAGTGCAGGATGACCTTTTTGATGTCACTGTAGTTTGACATCTGAGTAATTCCCCTTTGGACCGATGTACAATTTTCAATCCAGTCGGGTCATGAGAGCCCTCACAATGGAAGATCAGAGAATCGTAGTCAAAGAACTGCAGTCTGTTTGGTTCAAGACGGAGAATCAGTGAATCTGAAACAAACCAAAGAAAGACATGTTCTCTTATTTCATACAAAATACAAAATGAAGCATTTAAACAATAACATTGAGAAACTTAATGGTACATACCCACATCTTGAACATATGCACCCAGCAGGAATAACACACAGATCACTGGAAAGAAGAAGAGTTGTACGTTAGATCTCATAAAAACAGGTACGGAAATATCTATGAAACAGATAAAGAATCATACTCACACAGCCTGATGTTAAGAGCACAGACCTCCATGTTGACTCTTTGAACATATGACTGAAGTGTCCACGAGGTGAGGATTTTTGCTTCTAATGCGATACATGGTTTGTGGTTAGGGTTGAAAATATTTCCCCACAGACCCCTCCTTATGTGTCGCCTCCACCTCTTCTGGCTGAGAACGCCAGCACCATTTTCAAATTTTTATCAGGCGAGTATAGTTAAACCCTGATGATGCAAACATCCAAAACAGAACTTATTACGTGAATGGTTGGTTATAACCACCTTTTTAATTTATAGCTGTATTTGACGAATATCTGCTGTGAAAAAACAAAACAAGAACAAAGCAAGACCACTGAACATTTTTAAACCAGGAAGTGGCGTTATTGTTTCATTTAATACAGTTAACAGACATAGAACAGGGCGTCATCTGCATATTGATGAATAATAAATCACACACATTAGAGGTAGCAGGATTTAGGAAAGTTTTAACAAATAGGATTCAAACCTAAGCCTCATAGAACCCAAAATAACAGGATAGCAAAAGATCAGAAAGGTTAAAGCCAAGAATTCCTTTCATTTCATCAAAATAGTCAAATACTTTAGAAAATGTGCTAAATAAGGTGAAACGTTTCAAGCTTAAACAAGGAGGCTATAACCGTAGCTTAGAATAAACTCCACTTTGGGTGACCCAAGTGACACTCAACAACTGGTTAAGAGACTTATTGTAAGAAAAACATAAACTAAATGGTGCCTAATGTTCAAATGTTCTAGTAAGTATTTTGGCAACACTGTGGAATAATTCAGCGGCAGGGGTGCATTCTCTTTTCACAAAAAACATGACTCAGGTACGTAAAGTTCTAGAAGAGTTCACAAGTGTGATGGGTTCGAAGGTGGAAGGTTTTTGATTTTTTGTCACAGAACTAAAAAAAAGATTTGAATGAATTAAAAATCAGATCTTCTTTATGGGTTCTCCCTGTGAATAACATGTTTTAACTTTCAATTTGTATCCACCATTGGACTCAGAACAACTAAAAAACTTCATTGTAAATTGGATATTTAGCATGTGTTTTCCTTTGTGAACATTACTTTGTCTACCAAACAAGGTGTTGGAAATAAATCGGTCACCTTGCTTTGTGTAGCCACAAGCAAGTTAAGTCACCAACGCCATTTTCGAGTTTCTACCTCCAACATAAAGAAATCTGAGACACCATTCCTGAACAAACCTAATTTAGTATGGCTGGTAATCAATGAGTTCCCCCTGCTGTACAACGACCACACTGCATGAAAAGAAGACACCAAAAACTTCCATCACACATCTTTAATAAAATATAAAAACATTCAGTGGAATATTACAGTTTAAATGTTCATGTTACCATCACAAATGTTCGTATTATAGGTCGATATTTTATGTAGATATGAGCAGGAAGTGAAGCTCTGAGCTGCACCTGCTGATTGCTTGGGCAGCACATGATGTGGGTTTTATAGACAATTTTAATCTCGGGTCCTTTTTTAACAGTGACGGTGTTCACACAAACATTATGGGCTCACAGACTTTACGTATGACAGGTGCTCTATAAATAACGCTGAGATGAGTTGTGGCTCGTGGGTCAGGGTGAGAGAAGATGTGGTCTCAGATGTGAATATTAAATATAGAAAGACACTGAAACAAACTGTGCACAGTGTTATTTGACTTGTGATATCTTCAGGTCCTTATACAGAAGAAGAACGAACATCTGTTGAACATTCATCAACATGTGAATTAAATATGTGAAACCTGTCAAACAGGAAGTGCTGCCATTTTCTTTGATCTGTTCATTTCAAAACATTTCTATGGATTGGATTCTTTAGACTGATTAAAAATGTTTTCATTGGTTTGCACAACATGCACTGAATATAAGTGGATCATCATTACATATAATGAACAAGGTGCACTATAACACATGGAAGACAGCAGCTGAGTAGCTGAATGAAGCATTATGGGATGCGCTTCATTTCTGGCAACCAAACAAGACTTTGGAGAAAATGTCTGTCTTTGTCGTTCATTCCGTCGTATCCTTTATTTCAATATCTCCATCTCAATTTGAGTGCACGAGGTGTTGTTGTTTACCTGTGGGTTTACCTCGGAGTTTCCCACAGTGGAGCTGTCCCAGCAGCACCAGCAGCAAAGCAATCATTACTACAGGGAGAATGTTTCTGAAGATGATGAATGGAAGATCTGAGGACGCATGAATCTCTTGGTGTGACTCTGCAAAGAAGACAGAAATAGAAATAATGCATGCCTTCTTGTGGTGTAAAGTTCTAGGACAATTCTCTTGAATCATTGCCAGTATGAGACCACAGATTCACTGGGTAACCTACAAAGGGATGAAGAGGATCTGAGCCAAAAATTAGCCTTCCGCTATCTTGGGTACATGAATAAATTCATATTTTATTTTCGTGTCAGGTCATTTATAAGACCCATCCCACATGGAAGTACATTTACATCCGTCTGTATGTAGATTAATGTACGCTGTCCTTTTCAAATCAATCAATATACTGTTTCAACACATAGTTATATCACATGTATTTTTCAATTTGATTTGGTAACACTGATGTGTCTCACCTTGTACAGCCATCAGACTCTCGGCTGATTCTCTTCCTCCAGAGATACACTTGTAGAATCCTTCATCACGTTTGGAAACACTGGAGATGCTCATGTTTCCTGTAGAGCTTGTTCTGATAAGGCGGCCATCTTTGTAGAAATCAGCTGAGAGATTGGGTGAGGTCGTCTTGCGTTTGCAGCGCAGAGTCACAGTCTCTCCCTCCACCACACTGATGGGACTCTCCAGGATCACAGGACCATCTGAACAACATGGGGTTCATATTTTATATCACACAAAGATGAGTGCATGTAAAGATCTCGTCTTAATGCAAACATACCAGTAACATTGATGTGGATGATGTCGCTTCTCTTCCCATCTCTGGACTCACACCAGTATTGCCCACTGTCCTCTGGAAAAATAGTAGGAATAGTGCAGGATGACCTTTTTGATGTCACTGTAGTGTTACATTTGAGTAATTCCCCTTTGGACCGATGTACAATTTTCAATCCAGTCGAGTCATCAGAGCCCTCACAATGGAAGATCAGAGACTCGTATTTAAAGAACTGCAGTCTGTTTGGTTCAATACGGAGAATCAGTGAATCTGAAACAAACCAAAGAAAGACATGTTCTCTTACGTCATACAAAATACCAAAATGAAGCATTTGAACAACAACATTGAGAAACATACCCACATCTTGAACATGTGCACCCAACAGGAATAAGACACAGATCACTGGAAAGATGAAGAGTTGTACGTTAGATCTCATAAAAACAGGTACGGAAATATCTACGAAACAGATAAAGAATCATACTCACACAGCCTGATGTTAAGAGCACAGACCTCCATGTTGACTCTCTGAACATATGACTGAAGCGTCCACGAGGTGAGGATTTTTACTTCTAATGCGATACATGGTTTGTGGTTAGGGTTGAAAATATTTCCCCACAGACCCCTCCTTATGTGTCGCCTCCGCCTCTTCTGGCTGAGAATGCCAGCGCCATTTTTAACTTTTTATCAGACCAGAATAATTAAACCCTGATGATCCAAACATCTAAAAGAGAACTTATTACATGAAAGGTTGGTTATAACCACCTTTTTAATTTATAACTGTATTTGACGAATATCTGCTGTGAAAAAACAAAACAAGAACAAAGCAAAACCACTGAACATTTTTAAACCAGGAAGTGGCGTTATTGTTTCATTTTATACAGTTAACAGACATAGAACAGGGCGTCATCTGCATATTGATGAATAATAAATCACACACATTAGAGGTAGCAGGATTTAGGAAAATTTTAACAAATAGGATTCAAACCTAAGCCTCGTAGAACCCAGAATAACAGGATAGCAAGAGGTCAGAAAGGTTAACGTAAAGAATTCCTTTCATTTAATCAAATTAGTCAAATACTTTAGAAAATGTGCTAAATAAGGTGAAACGTTTCAAGCTTAAACAAGGAGGCTATAACCGTAGCTTAGAATGAACTTCACTTTGGGTGACCCAAGTGACACTCAACAACTGGGTGAGCTTATTGACTAAATGGTGCCTGATGTTCAAGTGTTCTAGTAAGTATTTTGGCAACACTGTGAATAATTCAATCTATACTCAAAACAGAGCAAGGAGTGTCCAGAGTAATGACGGCAACTGTTCGCTCAGCTTGTACCAACCGACCTTTGACACAGGAACCCCTCTATTCTTTGATCAAGTAGGTAAGACTCAGGACATTACTGACATTCATATCTGGTAGGATGGACAGCAGAGGTTAGAACATGACCCATATTTACAGCTTTCAAATGTCTATGTCACTGGCCGTTGATGTTCAACCAAAGCACCACTTAAGGCAGCATTTCCTATATGCTTCGGTTCAAACTTTAGCTGTCATGCTTCTCAGATGATACGACCCGTGTTTTTTTATATCAATGGTATGCTCAGAGCTGGTAACCCTTTCTGTCTTCAGGTCGCAGTGTGATGGCTGACTGAAGGACGAGCAGGACATGAGATGTTTGGTTGAACCTGATGTGTGAAAAAACACTTTTTATTTTATTTTGCATTGCAGAAATGGTTTTCATGCTTTGCGCCCTACATGTGTTGATGTTTAAAGATATATTAAAGAGATGTGGTTTGTATTTTCAGATGTATTATCTGTTATTATTTAGTGACAGTTAAACCCACATGTTCCATCTGCTGTGTGTATTTACGTGAGTGTGAAACTGTGGTCAACCACCACCTTGATGCTGCAGCTTCACTTTCAACTGAAGCACGCTGACCGAGTCCAAATAAAAAAATGAGTCTGACACTTTAAGTCTAACGTGGTTGTAAATGTCATACATGAGAAGACAGAAAATAACTGTGCCATTAAAGAAGTGTACTGGTGTTTATTCTTTCATGCAAACAGTATTTTCTCAGGGTCTTCTTATCAGCAATCCCGATTCATATTTAACATGTTCAACAAAAACGTCTTTTTGAGTGGACAGTAACGGTAGTAGCTCTCAAATGCTTTGAGCTGAATGCGATTACAATGCAAGCTAATATGTTCAAAATTACCATGCTAACATGCTAACGCTAATTAGATAAAATATTTCACTCTTTCTACGAAAAGAAGAGTTTCACCATCTGGGGACTGAATGTCTGAACAGAATCTGAAGTAAACCCTGGACCTTCGAGAAAAGAGTTCTTGATTCTGATCGGCTGGCAGCGGTACATTCTCTCTCTTTCTTTCACACAAACATGACTCAGGTGCGTAGAGTTATAGAAGAGTTCACAAGTGGGAAGGGTTTGAAGGTGGCAGGTTTTTGACTTTTTGTCACAGAAAACAAAGAAAAAGCTTTGAATGAATAAAAAATCAGATCTTCTTAATGGGTTCTCACTGTGAATAAAACGGTTGTTTTAACCTTTAATTTGTATCCACCATTGGACTCAGAAGAATATTTAGCATGTGTTTTCCTTGTGAACATTACTTTGTCTACCAAACAAGGTGTTGGAAATAGATTGGTCACCTTGCTTTGTGTAGCCACGACCATTTTCAGTCACCAACGCCATTTTGGAATTTCTACCTCCAACATAAAGAAATCTGAGACACTATTCCTGAACAAACCTAATTTAGTATAGCTGGTAATTAATGGGTTAATGTTGGTACAACACTAACAATGAGTTCCCCCTGCTGTACAACAACCACACTGCATGAAAAGAAGACACAAAAAAATCTTTCATCACATATCTTTAATAAAAATGTGAACTGTTGTTACAGAGAGACAGACATATTCTGCATTGCTGTTGATATAAAAACATTCAGTGGAATATTACAATTGAAATTTTCATGTTACCATCACAAATGTTCGTATTATAGGTCGATATTTTATGCAGATATGAGCCGGAAGTGAAGCTCTGAGCCCGTTATAGCTGCTTCATCCGGGCTGCTGGTCTCACCACAGTGATCTAACCTCACCCTTAGAACGTTGATTAGCTGACGCCCACATCCTCGCAATGTTTCATCAATCAACTCATTGATTAAAAACAAATGCACGTTGGCCATGAGGGGGAGGAGCAGCACAAATTCCAACATATTGTTGGTTAAAGACAATTACAAAGTTGGCTTACTGTCAGCTGTAGAATATATCAAGAATTAGAGGACATGTGTCCCAGCAGGACTTGAAAAACGCTGAAAGTCGTCCATATTGATGCTTTAAACTGTGTGGACGGTTCTATTGCAGGTTGTTTCCAGCTCACAGCAGCAACACCTGACCATCAAATGATTAAAGTGACGGAAGGATGAGGGCTTACAGTTTCAGCTCTGACACTGCCTTGCAGGTGTGTCTGCAGATATCTTGTGTTTATATTTTTAACAGCTGACCTTTTTATTTCAAACTGTCTGACTTTACGTGTTTGTATCAATGTTTTCACATCATAGCAGTCCGCTTCGTTCTTTGGCTCAGCCCAATGACGCTAATCTATCAACTGAGGTGTTACCACCACCACAGCAGCTCAGTCAGTGTGAACGTTGTTTTGAAAAAAATCCAAGTGTCAAACTTAGGGTAACATGAGCAGCATGAATAGACCACACAGGAAGAAGCCCCTCCTCAGTTACACTTCAGTTCAGCTTGGTGTTCAGACAGTCAACATGGAGGTCGGCGCGCTCTGCATCAAACTCTGTGAGTACGATTGGTTAAAACTAAAGAGTGTAGTCGTTCAAGGTTAGGATGGTAATGATGGTTTAATGCAGAGGGTTCTCTTGGGGCTTGGAAAGGCTTTCAGGTTCAAAATATTTATATGAGGTTTTTGGCCTGAAAGATAAAAATGTAAAAGTCAAACATCAAAGGCAGCTTTAGGAGCTGTAAGAATCAGTTGAATATACGACTGTTAAAACATGTCTCACTCAATGTGGAGCTCTTCTCTTTTGTTATTCCAGTGGTCCACGTGTTAATCCTGCTGTGTGCACATGTTCAAGACATTGGTAAGTACCAGGTTGGTGCTTAGTTGTATTTTAACTTCAGTTGGAACTTTCTGGTGAAATAAGAGAACATGTCTTTCTTTGGTTTGTTTCAGATTCACTGATTCTCCGTCTTGAACCAAACAGACTGCAGTTCTTTGAATACGAGTCTCTGATCTTCCATTGTGAGGGCTCTCATGACTCGACTGGATTAAAAATTTTACATCGGTCCAAAGGGGAATTACTCAAATGTAGAACTACAGTGACATCAAAAAGGTCATCCTGCACTATTCCTACTATTTTTCCAGAGGACAGTGGGCAATACTGGTGTGAGTCCGGAGATGGGAAGAGAAGTGAAATCATCCACATCAATGTTACTGGTATGTTTGCATTAAGACGAGATCTTTACATACACTCATCTTTGTGTGATATAAAATATGAACCCCATGTTGTTTAGATGGTCCTGTGATCCTGGAGAGTCCCATCAGTGTGGTGGAGGGAGAGGCTGTGACTCTGCGCTGCAGACACAAGACGACCTCTACCAATCTCTCAGCTGATTTCTACAAAGATAGCCACTATAAAAGAAGAAGCTCTACAGGAAACCTGAGCATCCCCAGTGTTTCCAAACGTGATGAAGGATTCTACAAGTGTATCTCTGGAGGAAGAGAATCAGCCGAGAGTCTGATGGCTGTCCAAGGTGAGACACATCAGTGTTACCAAATCAAATTGAAAAATACATGTGATATAACTATGTGTTGAAACAGTATAGTGATTGATTTGAAAAGGACAGCGTACATTAATCAACATACAGACGGATGTAAATGTACTTCCATGTGAGATGGGTCTTATAAATGACCTGACACGAAAATAAAATATGAATTTATTCATGTACCCAAGTTAGCCAAAGGCTAATTTTTGGCTCACATCCTCTTCATCCCTTTGTAGTTTACCCAGTGAATCTGTGGTCTCATATTGACAATGATTCAAGAGAATTATGCTCGAACTTTACATCACTGTTACTGGTATGTTTGCATTAAGACGAGATCTTTACATGCACTCATCTTTGTGTGATATAAAATATGAACCCCATGTTGTTCAGTTGATCCTGTGATCCTGGAGAGTCCCATCAGTGTGGTGGAGGGAGAGACTGTGACTCTGCGCTGCAGACGCAAGACGACCTCATCCAATCTCTCAGCTGATTTCTACAAAGATGGCCGCCTTATCAGAACAAGCTCTGCAGGAAACATGAGCATCCCCAGTGTTTCCAAACGTGATGAAGGATTCTACAAGTGTATCTCTGGAGGAAGAGAATCAGCCGAGAGTCTGATGGCTGTCCAAGGTGAGACACATCAGTGTTACCAAATCAAATTTAAAAATACATGTGATATAACTATGTGTTGAAACAGTATATTGATTGATTTGAAAAGGACAGCGTACATTAATCAACATACAGACGGATGTAAATGTACTTCCATGTGAGATGGGTCTTATAAATGACCTGACACAAAAATAAAATATTTATTTATTTATGTACCCAAGTTAGCCAAATGCTAATTTTTGGCTCACATCCTCTTCATCCCTTTGTAGTTTACCCAGTGAATCTGTGGTCTCATATTGACAATGATTCAAGAGAATTATGCTCGAACTTTACATCACTGTTACTGGTATGTTTGCATTAAGACGAGATCTTTACATGCACTCATCTTTGTGTGATATAAAATATGAACCCCATGTTGTTCAGTTGATCCTGTGATCCTGGAGAGTCCCATCAGTGTGGTGGAGGGAGAGACTGTGACTCTGCGCTTCAGACGCAAGACGACCTCATCCAATCTCTCAGCTGATTTCTACAAAGATGGCCGCCTTATCAGAACAAGCTCTGCAGGAAACATGAGCATCCCCAGTGTTTCCAAACGTGATGAAGGATTCTACAAGTGTATCTCTGGAGGAAGAGAATCAGCCGAGAGTCTGATGGCTGTCCAAGGTGAGACACATCAGTGTTACCAAATCAAATTAAAAAATACATGTGAGAAACTATGTGTTGAAACAGTATATTGATTGATTTGAAAAGGACAGTGTACATTAATCAACATACAGACGGATGTAAATGTACTTCCATGTGAGATGGGTCTTATAAATGACCTGACACGAAAATAAAATATTAATTTATTTATGTACCCAAGTTAGCAGAAGGCTAATTTTTGGCTTACATCCTCTTCATCACTTTGTAGGTTACCCAGTGAATCTGTGGTCTCATACAGACAATGATTCAAGAGTTTTAACAAACTTTTATTGTGCACGATTAAACTGCATACTTTACATTAATATTAAAAGTTGAAACGTTCAGGTTTAAAATCTTAATTTTTCTTCTAATCTTTCAATCCAATCCAAACCTAAAATCCTCTGTCATTGTTTACTCGATTACTTTGTGATTACATTCCAGACAACCAGGGAGAGAATGTTTCATCCTGTTCTACCCCTTGGATAGTTATGACTGTTTTATCGATTCTGTTGTTGCTGGTTGGACTTCTTCATTTCGGCAAATATATTCAGAACAAAGGTACAAACACATTTCACTAACAAGAGGCGCTTATAGTGATTGATGGGTCACAGTCCCCTTGGAATATTTGCATTTTACATTTGTTGAATGTATTTAATGGATGAATGGGCCAGTTAATAACAGTGGGGTCTTGAACACAGTTTATGGATTCTAAAGGCCCTGACACACCAAGGAGATCGTCGGCCGTCAGTCCTAGTTGCAAATTGCACATTTTTAAACCAGGAAGTGCCGTTATATTTTTATTATGTCTCAATGTCTTCCTGGTTCCCTGTTCATAGTGTTTTTTTCATTTCATGCACTGCAGTGTTGCTGTACTTGTCCACACTGTCCTCATTAGAAAAAGACAAATTATTTAATCACATTAATTGAAAGCTCATGTTCTTTGGAGAAAGAGAAAATGTTCAGTTTGTGGATATGATTGCTCGAAGGCCTGTGTAATGTATCGATGTGGATTCTTATCACACATTTGTATTTTCAGTCACTGTTGAGGCCCCTCGAGTGGCAGCAGATGCACCAAGCGACCAAACGATGTATGCTGCGATTACAAAAGACAGGACAAAGAGAGGTACGTCACTTAACAGTTTATCCTGTCACGGTTCATTTCACAGTCACGATGCTCCATCCTATGTCTTGATCTGAAACTCCTTTCTTCTTGAACTTGGGGTAGTTTAACAACATTAAATGACTGCTTCATGAGTCTGTATCTCAAGGCCTTGAAATGGACAAAAATAATGTTTTGATATCCTTTATTAATCCCTGAGGGAAATACAACATACCTACGATACATACATGGTCTAAAATGATGTTGAAGACTTTAAGTAGTGTTATTTTATCTCTTTGGTAAAGTCATAATGGTAAAGTTCTTCACTGAGAAACAAAAACAGCTCATTTCTATATGAGAATTAAAGTAGTCATCAAGGTGAATTCAGCTGCAGACAAGTCTACAGAGAAGTGAAAAGTACACTTCAGGTTCAAACACTGAGAATATGCATAACATAGCACTTTGTAAACTACAAATAAAGTTATCATTATTGATTATTGTTACTTAAAAAGTCAATTATTCTAGCTTGGATTTAATGCCTAATGATTTAATACAGTTAACAGACATAGAACAGGGCGTCATCTGCATATTGATGAATAATAAATCACACACATTAGAGGAAGCAGGATTTAGGAAAGTTTTAACAAATAGGATTCAAACCTAAGCCTCCAAGAACCCAAAATAACAGGATAGCAAAAGATCAGAAAAGTTAAAGCAACGAATTCCTTTCATTTCATTAAAATAGTCAAATACTGTGCTAAATAAGGTGAAACGTTTCAAGCTTAAACAAAGAAGTCATAACCGTAGCTTAGAATAACTTCCACTTTGGGTGACCCAAGTGACACTCAACAACTGGGTGAGACTTATTGTAATAAAAACGTAAACTAAATGGTGCCTGATGTTCAAGTGTTCTACTAAGTATTTTGGCAACACTGTGAGATAATTCAATCTATACTCAAAACAGAGCAAGGAGTATCCAGAACCATGACGGCGACAGTTCACTCAGCTGGTACCAACCGACCTTTGACACAGGAACCCCTCTATTCTTTGATCCAGTAGGTAAGACTCAGGACATTACTGACATTCATATCTGCTAGGATGGACAGCAGAACTTAAAACATGACCCATATTTACAGCTTTCAAACGTTTATGTCACTGGACGTTGATGATCAACCAAAGCATCACTTAAGGCAACATTTCCTACATGGTTCCGTTCAAACTTTAGCTGTCATGCTTCTCAGAATGATACGACCAATGTTTCATATAAATGTGGTATGCTCAGAACTGTTAACCCTTTCTGTCTTCAGGTCGCAACGTGACGGCTGAATGAAGGACGAGCAGCACATGAGACGTTTGGTTGAACCTGATGTGTGAAAAAACACTTTTTATTTTATTTTACATTGTAGAAATGGTTTTCATGCTTTGCGCCCTACATGTGTTGATGTTTAAAGATATTTTAAAGTGATGTGGTTTGTATTTTCAGATGTATTATCTGTTATTATCTAGTGACAGTTAAACCCACATGTTCCATCTGCTGTGTGTATTTACGTGAGTGTGAAACTGTGGTCAACCACCGCCTTGATGCTGCAGCTTCACTTTCATCTGAAGCACACTGACCGAGTCCAAATAAAGAAATGAGTCTGACACTTTAAGTCTAACGTGGTTGTAAATGTCATATATGAGAAGACAAAAATAACTGTGCCATTAAAGAAGTGCACTGGTGTTTATTCTTTCATGCAAACAGTATTTTCTCAGGATCTTCTTATCAGCAATCCCGATTCATATTCAACATGTTCAACAAAAACGTCTTTTTGAGTGGACAGTAACGGCAGTAGCTCTCAAATGCTTTGAGCTGAATGCGATTACAATGCAAGCTAATATGTTAAAAATTACCATGCTAACATGCTAATGCTAATTAGGTCCAATATTTCACTGACTCTACGAAAAGATGAGTTTCACCATCTGGGGACTGAATGTCTGAACAGAATCTGAAGTAAACCCAGGACCTTCAAGAAAAGAGTTCTTGATTCTGATCGGCTGACAGCGGTACATTCTCTCTCTTTCTTTTACACAAACATGACTCAGGTACATAGTTATAGAAGAGTTCACAAGTGGGAAGGGTTTGAAGGTGGCAGGTTTTTGACTTTTGTCACAGAAAAAAAAGAAAAAGCTTGAATGAATTAAAATCAGATTATCTTTATGGGTTCTCACTGTGAATAAAACGGTTGTTTTAACCTTAATTTTGTATCCACCATTGGACTCAGAACAATATTTAGCATGTGTTTTCCTTTGTGAACATTACTTTGTCTACACAACAAGGTGTTGGAAATAGATTGGTCACCTTGCTTGTGCCACGAGCATTTTAAGTCACCAACGCCATTTTGACTTTCTACCTCCAACATAAAGAAATCTGAGACACTATTCCTGAACAAACCTAATTTAGTATAGCTGGTTATTAATGGGTTAATGTTGGTACAACACTAACAATGAGTTCCCCTGCTGTACAATGACCACACTGCATAAAAAGAAAGAAATTATTTATCTTTAATAAAAATGTGAACTGCTGTTACAGAGAGGCAGACATGTTTTGCATTGTTGTTGATATAAAAACATTCAGTGGAATATTACAGTTTAAAGTTCATGTTACCATCACAAATGTTTGTATTCATAGGTCGATATTTTATGCAGATATGAGCAGGAAGTGAAGCTCTGAGCTGCAC